TGTGCAAACTGAACTGAACTGAACTGAACTGAACTGAACTGAACTGAACTGAACTGAACACTGGACTACAGTACGGACGCCGACGTTTCCTTACCTCATGCTGTTACGTCCTTTTTATCATTTTTCATAAGTGATTGTGAAGCTAAGCATTTTGAGACATAACCATTGGTGAGGTAGCTACAGAACTCAGATGCCTAAACAGATAAGGCAGCTGGCACCGACGGACAACGCCCAGCCGTGATCCAATCTTTGGTAGGTATCTTGGCGCCCCCTCTCGCTGCCTTTTCAGCCACTCCCTTCATCATAATGTAGTCTCTAAGGTATGGAAAACGGCCAAGGCGATCCGCGTAGTTAAGGTCGGACGACGAGAGTTGTCAAGGGATTACCGACTGGTTAGTGTCTTGCGTATTATGCTATGATGCGCAAGAGTTACCTTTTTAAAGGTAATGAATAAATGTATACGAAACGCCATATCCAACAATCTGGTTCGACTTGCTTTACTTTACGTTACTGCGGCTGGCTCATTGGAAAGGATTAGCGGGCTCCAAACATGATCATTATCATGAAGTTCCTCGGGAGTTTGGTACGAGAGACGTCTCCAGCGTCACTCGGCATTTCTTATTTTGAGGGCGCACCTCTAGCCCTTGCGCAACCAAGTGCGAATGGCAAGGCAGCATGAAGTAATCCCTTGCCTTGGAAGGGAGGGTGTCGACGGCCTTCGATTTATAAAGCCATTCGCATCGACCGTCACGATACCGTCATTGGGCTTCGGCGGCTTTTGATCAGGAGCCAGTTGACCAGCCTGAAACTTACCGCATCCCAATAATGCCGCCGCTGTTTGTTCGAGACTGCTTATTTGTTCCTTTATGCCACAAATTATTCGCAGCTAACCTTCCATGAAGGTATCCGCCTATCCACAACCGAGAGATGCGCCTGGTCGCATTCAGCTCTGATGGTCCCGAGGGTATCTAGCCCAGCACCAACTAGTAACTGCAGCAGTGCTGGTTCTTCAGAGGTAAGTTTTGCCTCACGATCCTGCTGTCCTTCCTTGATGAAGTAACTATAGGACTAGATAAAGATGACTGTTGAAGTCTGTTATCTGGATTTCCAGAAAGCGTTTGACTCGGCCAACCACGGGTTGCTGTTGCTTAAGCTAAGGAACCTGCGAGTTGCTCTCGTAGTTAGACTGGATAGGGGAATACCTATCTGGTCAAAACTTCTGCATTAAGATAGAGTCATCTAAGTCTAGCTCCGCCATAGCCCGCAGTGGAGTGCCACAAGGATCTGTACCTGGGCCTTTGTTGTTCGTAACCTTCGTTAACGAACTAGCTCAAAGGCTACAAACCTCATACTTCTTGTTTGCTGATGGCACCAAACTTGAAGGCAAACCAACTGGGCATACCATACAGGAAGACAGACACGCTTTACGCCTGGTTCATAACCTGTGGCCTACCACTAGACGTCGTTGATTGCAGACACTTGATGCCTGACGGTGTTCCTGTGGCGTGTTACCTAAACCTCGATAACCCCCAGGTAGTTCAGCGCACAGGGACTGGTATTACGGGTGCTTATTTACCAGTCCTTCAAGCCATTGCTAGTGTGCTGAGGCTGCTGGAATGGCTCGAAGGGCACTGTTTCAATTGGGGTGCACAGTCGCATCCGGGGACCCGGTTGTCTTTCTCCTAAAGCGTTCGTCCATCTCCACTTAGAGTATGAAGTCCAGGTATGGGACCCAACTAAAATTGGAAACATAAATACCCTTGAAAGGATACCATGGAGGTTCACCATTTGTCTCCCAGGTTTTCAAGTGTTGACGTACACCCAGAGGCTGGGACTTTTCCCTCAAAAGAAGGTCGAGGGAATCTTATCGAGGCCTTCAAGCTCCTGGAAAGAGTCTACAGGTCTGGATTCCCCTTACCTAACATAAATAACAACTTATCGCTTACAGGGAACAGACTGAAATTGAGCAAACCCAGGGCTCTGAAGGGTATAGGAGCGAATTTCTCCCATAGGGTGGTAAACGCGTGAAACAGACTGTCTACGGAGGCAGTTTCAGCGCAGACTGTAGTGCACTTCAAAGCCAGACTGGACAGTTGTTGGACTTCATCATTCGCCGACCCTATCTGATTCCTGCGGTCTTGCACTTGTACTCCAACCTTCGACGCATCCCTTTCTTACCCGAATCTTAACTGTAATGCTTCTTCTCATTCCTATATTATCTTATCACTACACCCTTACCCTTCAGCTCCTTTCCGTCCATGTACTATATTGTCATTTGAGATAATGTGCTCAACTAGTGGTGCGTAACAATGCTGGATATAGGCAAATTATCCGTTCCAAATCGTGAGTCGACTGCTGATTCCAGAAGTGATCCTGATATTGCACTTGGTAATCTGGATTTGACACAAGAAAATTCCAATTGGTAATCCATCTTTGCTAATCTGAAGTATTGGAATACCGGGCGATCGAAGCACGGTGGAACATCCACGCCAGATCGCGCGATAAACTGGACTTTCTTTGGCTCGAGCTGCAAGTCTTGGGATCTGATCTGATCTGATCACGTTACCCGGAATCAACGTCCTGCCGTGTATTTGAAATGGATGGCAGCGGCGGAGTAAACCCTTCATGTTACAGCCATCCGTTCTGCGAGGATATCGAGAATCAAACCCAGAAAATTGCAGTTAACTATCACAACATAATGCGTTCAGTGTCAGAATTCAATGATCTCAGCGCATTTCAGGCGACAATAATTCACTTACCTCCCACTGCGCAAGGATACCGCTCTGTTATGGGATTATATCCGGCAAGGATCCCGACAACATGAAGAACGTCACTTTCTTGGGGCAGGCGAGTGCAAAGTTCTTTGTGTTGTCTGTGGATTTTCTTCGGTTCCAACACTGCTTCTCTGTAGAGCTTCTGTGGGGCTCTATGGAAGCCACATATGGCTTGTGCTTTGTGGTCCTCCTAATAGGTCTCAGTTTCCGGTAAATGGTACCCTTCGCTGGATATTTTATCAGGAAACAGGCTGTTTGATCGCCCGTGTTCCATCCATTTTAGATGCGCAGGCCGTAGTGGATTCCACTGCCGGTGCCCTTAGTCTAAATATGAACCGTTACTGAATATTCATCTTACTGAGCGGATAAAGCATATACATGACTGGGCTTGACTTAGATGCTAATCTTCGAGAACGTTGTCGACCGACACCATCACTACGAGACTACACCTTGACGTGGTGTGATGGCTTGTGCACCTCTGTGACCCAACGAGCTACACAGGATGGCTTTATGAAGCCGACATATATTAAATGCCACCTTTAGGGCGTTAAAATTGGTGCCGTTGACTACTTCCACGGGTGGTCCGCTTCACTCAGGTATGACCCTTTACGAGAAGAACTTGACCATGACCTCCAACCTGGGGTGATTTTGTCGAAGTTGGAAGCTATAACCTGACGTACTTAGACTGTGGGAAATCGTAACTACGTGTTTTATGCTGAATCCTGATAGACAATCTTGAGATAGCATCATATCTCCCCTCACCCTACGCTCCATCATGAAAAGATTACATTCCATTAGCCACTGCTCTGATTTTCTCCTTTTGTCGAGCTACCACTATTATGAACCTTTTATACATTCATACAGGTTTACGCGATGGATTACTTATCTCATGCCACTCTCACCTTTGGCCCATGATGTTTGACATGATATTAGATTCTATTTCCCGAGTTTTTCCGATTGTCCGTTACCCCATTGACGTATGAGTTTAGATTGTCACAAAAATCACTGTACAGTGGTATTTATAAGAAAAAGTTGTGATTTTCTTGTGGACTAAGGCAGGTGAATTTCCTTATAAAATTCATAAGTGGACCATTCTGCTAACCGAAGCCTGACTCTCAAGGCAGCGGGGCGTTGCGTGAAAACCGCGATCCATTAGATGCTGATGTCCAGTTCATCGGATGGTACACCCTTTGGACGGAGTCCAGCGTCCAAGGTGCCCAATACACCGCTATACCCAATCAAACAAACGGCCACGGTAACGACCGGGAATGTATGGGTCATTGTGGTTCGTACGGCTATTCTTGGTTTGTTTGGAATCACGGATTCTAGGAGAACTGCGAGTAGTTCATCGGTCCGGTTATAACCCCGTGTGTTGGTTTTTTGTCCTCTCACTTCGGTGGGTAAGCCCCACCACTGGAAGGGAGTAAGTAGGGCTTTCTCCAAAAGCCTCAGTATGGTCGAGTTTCGCTATGATCTTTGAATTTCGCTTCACTTTCTTACGTTCATCACGATACCGTTAATGTTCGTATGACAAGCAGTGAATATTGACGTCATCGGTAAGAGGGTGGTTTTGGTTGACGGTTGTGATGAGCTCGAATGATTGAGCGACGAACGAGAGAGGGAAAACGGAGAGCCGGAAACGAGGCTTTAACCTTCTAGCAATGTAGGTGTATCGGCTACAATAGAAAGATAGAAAATCTACATTATCAGTAAACAGTGATGCCGTGGTATAAAGACCCAAAGTATGACAAAACCACAACTATTTTGTTAAGGTGATCATTGATCAATAGAAGGAATAGTGTGGTCCTAAGTTTTGAACCTTTGAAACTCTAGCATCCACAGAGAATGGCTGAAATATGCATATAATTACTACATTCCTAAATGTTTTGATTTGTAATCTACATTGCAGAATGGTGTTTCCGGAACCAATCCCTACCAATGTTGATTTACAAGCTATCTTTAGTGCACAGAACCAGTTTACTTCCATTGAAGATGTAAATCGAGTGGTGCATCGGTTGATTCGTGATATTTCCGAACAAGGCAGATATACTGGAACTGGATGTATTCAGGAAGAGTTGTTTCTGGTGGGTTACAACTTCAAAATGATCAATGTTTCGTTAGCGGTTTCCTGCTGCTTATACTTTCTTACGGCAACNTGGATACTATCCCTAGTCTTCTGGAGCATAAACGTATCATACAAAGAGTGAATACTCAACTGTGGGCATATGCAACAACACGGAATATTGTTACCATAAAAGATTTGCAACGGCTTGTTGAAGTACGTTTTTTTTCATTTTTCCGTGACAATTACACAGCAATGTGTTCGCACGTCTTCGATTTTTATCTGCGGTTTTGGCCGCGGTTAACCCTAATGGGTTCGTAACATCAGTTCTTTTCGATTGCCATTGTTAGTGAGGCGTTGCTAGTGTATATATATATATATATATATATTCAACACGTAAGCAATTACAGAGAACTGAAAAGTGTGCCACAACATATGAACAGAAAGCAATTTGAAGAATATGTTCATGGGTTGTGTGGGTATATTACTTCCCGGTTGCCCTGGCCGAGGAAGGGGGATAGCCTTGGGGTCCCCACCCGAAACCTTCGGCTAAAAAGCCAGAAGTGGAAGATAACAGGACAGAGCTCAAGGTCCGCAGTCCTTTGGGGACCGGTGTGCAGTTCACTGGATCATACGCCCTTCGGATAGGGTCAAACGTCCTAGGTGCCCAATACACTTAGGTGACCAATGGAGCCGGAGACCATTGCCACAACCAGAAGGTTGAGTGTGTGCTTCGGACGCATCCTCATGGTTGTTTTGGAATCAGGGTTTTTGGCCAACTCTCCTAGGTGAACTGCCAGTGGTCCACCAACCCGGTTATAGCCCCGGATGTCGGCTTTTCGTCCTCTCACTTTGGTGGGAAAACACCTCCGCCACTTACAGGCAGTGAGTAGGGCTTCCTCAGCAAAGGTTATTTGAGACGCTTGGTCGTATGGGAGCATCTCGCGAAGTGCAATGGAAGGGTGACCAGTCACAATCCCAGACACTCACCCCGACCATCCTGAGGTTTTCGAGGTAACCCGAAGTAATAGTCACCGATTGTTAGAGAGAATGAGCGAAATGGCTGGGTGTCGCAAACAGTGGCGCTCATGCATCTACTCATTATTCGCTTAACACCAGTCTATATAAGTTCCCTACCTTCTGTTTGAATTTACTTTTAACATTTTTCATCCTTTTTATCCAAATTGGCGGCCAAAAGACAGCAATCAAAACCGGCGCACGAAGGTGCATGGTTAATGGTTGTAAAAACGGAAAAGGAAACTGATCAACGAAGCAGAGGAATAATAACAGTTTAGGTATTCCATTCAATAACCGAGTTCATTTATACCCAAATGGCCTCGAATATTTAGAAGTTTAGAAGTTTTTCGAGCCTAATTTACGAACAGGACCAATAGTATATACGGGGAAACACGGAAGTAAGAAGTACTAACGTGCAGGATTGTAAATTGAAACCCCTAAGAATGGAGTTACCAACAAGTCACATAACTTAAGAGGGAAATAATTGTCTTCTCTAAAAGCCCTTTTTGGTGCAAAACGGTGCTGCATAAGTCAGTTTCAGCCAGCAGACCGCCCTTTTACGGAGACAAGTAAAAGCCACTTGATGTTTTTTGATACTCCAGTTTATGTGAATAACAAATCACTTGGCTTCAACATTGAAGTAAAGTAACTTAGACGTCATAAACAGATGCTGGAAGCTACAATCCAACAAGTTGTACGCGGATTGAAGAATGAACATTGAATGAACGGCCGCGAAAAGCTTCGTCTGGCATATGATTGCTCTTTATCAGGAGCCACCACTGACCGCAGTAGAGGCGTCAGAAAGTTTGCGAATCTGGCGTGTCACAGAACAAAGTTACCATTGCCATCACCTGGTTGGTTTACATATAGCCTTCGACAGTACGAGGTTTTGAGATGCATTCCGAGAAGAAAGGTAATTACTGTGCATTTCACTTCGTACCATACTTCCAAGGTTTTTAGTTCTGCCGTTAGAGGACATTCTCTTGTTGGTGGAAATCGCCTAAAAGTAACGTATTATTTTGTACCTTTTGGTTTGCTGAAATTACCATTGCAGTAATTAATGCTGGTGTTTTAACTGTTCTGTTTCAGTCCCAATCATCACTCGATGGGGCACCTCAGTTCATTTCTGACAGTCTGGTACCGAAGCAGCGCTGGCATGTCTTTACTGTTGATTCTTATATATATCACACTGGCTTGAGGAGAAGCACGATGCCTAAGCCTAAGCAACAACAATGATAAAAGGGTCGTAAGGGGTACTGATTGGTGAAAAGAAAATGGGGAAAACAGAGATCAGGGTCAATAAACAATTTAATAATTGTTTGTTCGTTGGACCACACAAATTTTGAAGTTTTAATTTTCCGTTATAGGGAACGGGGTTTCGACAAACAAACCGCACAACAATCGCGCCACTGACTCCTATTCTGGGCCATGTTTCTCAGCGTCTCTAACTATCAGCAATCCGCATTAATTGGTCCCCAGTCTGGAAGGTGAGCTGCACCAACCGAAGCCAATACCGAGGCTAACTTTTTCATATCTCTACTCTAGATCATGACCTGACCGCCACAACTCTTATTCCAGCCTCGCGCAGCACGTGCAAAGGGAGCACGGAGAGATAGAG